CATATGACCCAGCCATCCCATTACTGGGTATATACCCAAAGGATTATAAATTATGCTGCTATAAAGACACATGCACACGTATGTTTATTGCAGCACTATTCACAATAGCAAAGACTTGGAATCAACCCAAATGTCCATCAGTGACAGATTGGATTAAGAAAATGTGGCACATATACACCATGGAATACTATGCAGCCATAAAAAAGGATGAGTTTGTGTCCTTTGTAGGGACATGGATGCAGCTGGAAACCATCATTCTTAGCAAACTATCACAAGAACAGAAAACCAAACACCGCATGTTCTCACTCATAGGTGGGAACTGAACAATGAGATCACTTGGACTCGGGAAGGGGAACATCACACACGGGGCCTATCATGGGGAGGGGGGAGGGATTGCATTGGGAGTTATACCTGATGTAAATGACGAGTTGATGGGTGCAGCACACCAACATGGCACAAGTATACATATGTAACAAACCTGCACGTTATGCACATGTACCCTAGAACTTAAAGTATAATAATAATAAATAAAAAAAAAAGAGAAATGAGCATATATATATATATATATAATCACTGCACTGTCAATGTGAGATGCATATTCTACTAATGTTATGTAAAACTGACAAAATTAGCCTCACAGCTTGGAGAATTATATCTAGATGTGATTAACCAGACATGCCATTTGAATGTATCCAATCTAACTATACTTGGATTTCTATCCTGGTAGAATGCTTGTAGACTCCATAACTTAATTGTTGTGAAGGCAGGCCATTAGAGGAGCTGGAAAAGAGGAACATCGCCATAGAATTAGAATGACACACGATTAGTGAGAAGCTGAGATGATGAAAGCTTCCTCTTAGGGGAGATGGAATGAGAAGGTTTGGCCACAGTGTGGGGAAATGTTAAAAATAAGCAGAGCAGGTTTGATTTGATCCACTGAGGAAAGAAGGGGACCTCAAGTGCCCACTCCAGCCAGACATTGTTCTAGACACTCAGTACCCTCCCCATATGAGAGCCACATTTTCCTTGATCAATAAGAACAAGACAGAAATTCTGCTCCTGAGACTGATTTAATTAAATTCCTTTTACTTCACTCTAATTTTCCAGAGCAATTTTCCACCTCTACTTTTATTTCTAGTTCCCATTTTTCCTGTAATGCTAACAGAAACTTTCTTTATAGAACACTTGTTGGTTATACCCACTGACCTTTTCCTTTTATTGTTTTCAACAGCAGTATAATATATTACGTTCATTTGTTTCTTAAAAAAGCATGTCTTGGTATTAAAAGCATATCATATTCATTTGTAAAAAAAAAAAAAAAAAAAAAAGAATTGGGGGCAACCCAGAACCTTTCAGGAAAAATTGGCATTGCTCCCTACTCTTCCCTCATATTTTAGGCCTTTGAGTTTTGAGTGTCAAGGAGTTGGAGTTGTACCTTCCCTCTCTTATTTACCAGTAGCACAGGTAGTCTGTTGGTTAAATACAGAGCCGTTTTTGCTCCATCAGACAGCCAGCCTTGGTTAAGGTGGGTTTGTTCTCTAAGTTGGGGTAGGGGAAAGTGATTTTACTTTCTAGGGTTGTGTATTGGGAGGGGGAAGTGTTCCATTAGCTGAGAACAAACCCACTAGAGAAGATGTTGAAAGAACACCACTGGAGAAGATGGTGTTAACTGGAATGTGTGACTGAGGCAAGAATCTCAGTCATTCGAGGTTTACTGAGCCAGAGGTTGAGAGTGTATCTGGGAAAAACACTAGGCACAAACGAGTGGCCGTGTACTCTGAAAAGGTTTTCAATACATGTTTTTAAAGGAGAGAAGGAAGGATGGGGAAGGATAGGCGTGAGGTGAATGGTCATGTTCCTGTGAGACTTTAGTTAGTGCTCAGTAAATCTACATTTTACATAAGAGAAGGTGAACCTTTTGAAGAAAGGAAGAACCAGTTATGCAGACGTCTCAAGTAGGTGGACACATTACTGATCTCTTGTTTTTGTGCAGCATCTGGGAAGGTGAGCTTGTAATGGACATTATCAGTGTGGAATTGAACAGATTGCAGACCTAAAGTTACAATTGACATGTCCTTGTGTTATGGGAGGATGTACATCTTAAAGGTTTTGAGGCCAGCAAAGATTTTCCTTATGAATGATTTGTGGGAGCAGTCATCTGGAGATGACTAAAGCCTTTTGCCTTTCCTGGTGGGGTGGTGGGGGGTGTATGAGGGGTTGGGTCTGGCTAATGTATGATGCTCTGACACAGGGTTGTGAAGTAGCAATATTAATTTGGAGAGAGGATGGTGCTTAGCTTGACTCAGCCTCTAGGCTTAACTTTCCCTTTGGCATAAAGAGTTTGGAGGTCCTGAGATTTTTTTTTTTTTTTTTTAATTTACATTGGGTATGTGTTTGTTAAATGAATGGCAGTGGTTGCCTTTAGAATATTCAGGTAGGATGTTCAGTGGACAATTGTAAAAGAGCATCTAGAGCTTAGAAAACAGTAGGAAAGGTTGAGATTTAGAAGCCATGAGGTTTCTAAAAGCTAAAGCCCCGAGTGTCAGGAGATGTGGGTTTTAATGTAGAGTCTGTCATTATATTGTCCTGGGGTAGTAGTCACTTCTCTGGCATTGGTAGTCCTTGTTTGTAAAATAAAACTCTAGACTTGATCTCATAGGCCTCTCCCAACTCTGAAACTTTGTTCTAATGAAGAAAACATATTCTCTCAAAATTTCGTGGGCTAGTCTATAGGGGAAAAAAGACCCTTTAGCAATGGTTTGAGGTATATGATGTCATGAAAGCAGTATTCTTTTTACTGTCCAAGTCAGTAATTTACTGTACAGAGAATTGGAAATGGACCAGAGGCAGTTTCCCAGAATAGGTCATTATTTGGTGTTAGTAATTGGTCATTCACGCATCTGCATACCCTTTGTTTCCTTAAGTAACTGTCCTCTCTGGTAACCACCTTAGGTCTGTCAAGGTGGAAGTCATGTGGTCAAATCAAATGGAAACACAAGTGTGTTAGGTATTGGATTCATTTTCCTGTCCCAAAGCACCTCTGTTTGGTAATGCTGGCAGCAGACATATATATGGCCAACAATCATGAAAAAAAGCTCCACATCACTGATCATTAGAGAAATGCAAATCAAAACCACAATGAGATTCCATCCCACACTAGGCAGAATGGCTATTAAAAAGTCAAAAAATAACAGATGCTGGTGAGTTTGTGGAAAAAAAGGAACACTTATACACTGTTGGTGGGAGTGTAAATTAGTTCAGCCATTGTGGAAGACAGTGTGGTGATTCCTCAAAGACCTAAAGACAGAAATACCGTTTGACCCAGCAATCCTATTACTGGGTATATATTCAAAGGAATATAAATTATTCTATTATAAAGACACATGCACATGTATGTTCATTGCAGCACTATTCACAATAGCAAAGACATGGAATCAACCTGAATGCCCATCAGTGATAAACTGGATAAAGACAATGTGGTACATATACACCATGGACTACTATACAGCCATAAAAAAGAATGAGATCATGTCGTTTGCAGGGACATGGATGGAGCTGGAGGCCATTATCATTAGCAAACTAACACAGAAACAGAAAACCAAATATTGCACGTTCTCATTTATAAGTGGGAGCTAAATGATGAGAACACATGGACACAAAGAGGGGCACAACAGACACTGGGGCCTACCAGAGGGTGGAGGGTGGGAGGAAGGAGAGGATCAGGAAAAATAACTGATGGAGAATGGGCTTATTACTGAGGTGATGAAATAATCTGCACAACAAACCCCCATGACACACGTTTGCCTATGTAACAAACCTGCACATGTATCCCTGAACTTAAAAAAAAAAAAAAATTCAAATTGATAGTCTATAAACAAGCTGCCCAGAGGCTCCAGTGAAACCTGGGAGCTGTGGGCAGAGGGAGTAGGCTGTCTCTGTTACACTCTGCCGCCTCCTAGTGGTAGCAGCTTTTAGTTCCTGTGTCACAGAATTTAACATTTTCCTGCTTTGGAAGGAACTTTCAAACACTAATTCGCCTTTACTCTCACCTGCTTCCCTGGAGGAGGTGAATAAAGCCTGTATTTCAGTGATGTAGTAGTTTCCTAGGCTGCTGTAACAAAGTACCCCACATTTGGTGGCATAGAATGAGAAGTTTATTCTGCACAGTTCAGCAGGCCAGAAGTCTGAAACTGAGATGGCAGTAGGGGTAGTGCTACCTCGGGAGGCTCTAGGGGAGAGTCTTTTTCTCTTCCTGCCGCTCCAGTTTCTGCTTCTGTGGTCACCCTGCCTTTTCTTCTTTGTCTCTCTTTTTGTATATCTTTTATTATGAGGACACTGTCATTGGATTTAGAGTCCACCTGGATAAGCCAGATGATTTAATCTCAATATCCTTACTGACTGACATATCGAGAACCCATCTCTACCAAAAAAAAAAAAAAAATTAAATTTAAAATAGATCCTTTTTCCAAATAAGCTCACATGCATAGGTTCTGGAGATTGGATGTGGATATACCTTTTGCGTGGGCAGGGGGCACTGTTCACCACACTATAGGTGGTTAGCGCCTTTTCTCTCCTTTAAAAAATAAAACGTCTGTAAATTTTCACTGCTGCTAGCGCAGCTCTGTGTAAACCAGTGTTCTCTTTTGTTCCCTACCGGGAGCCAGCTTGCACCTTGGTCCACCAAGGATTGCTGCTCAGTACATAGCTGCTTCATTATTTGTGTTCATTGTATTATTTATTAATACAAATAGTCATTTGGTTTTTTAATAGAAAAAAATTATAAAGAGTTTGCATAATGTTTGTAAGAAATGAAAAACGTGATACAGAGATAGAAGAGGATATAAAATAAGATTAAAAAAAAGGAAAATTTCATAGCTTAAGCCACTAAATTGCCCTTAAGGAGGAATGCAAGTTATTAACAGTAACATTTCATTTTGCAACATGTATAAAATAATTTGTTTTAAGGCTGTCTTTAACTCTTGCTCTTCGTTTCTCTGCAGGTCTTTTAGATAACCCTGAACTTCGTGTGGTCCTTGTCTTTGGTTATAATTGCTGTAAGGTGGGAGCCAGTAATTATCTGCAGCAAGTAGTCAGCACTTTCAGTGATATGAATATCATCTTGGCTGGAGGCCAGGTGGACAACCTGTCATCACTGACTTCTGAAAAGTATGTCTTGTGTGTGTCTGATTTCCTCTGTGAATGAGGGGAAATGGTCCCAGGTTTTGTCACTTTGGGGTTAACAATTTAAAAACCACGTTTAAAGAATTGCTAAGATAATAGTTCATTCCATTTTGTAGTAGACATTGGCTAAAGGGCTTACTCAACATAATTCTGCTTACAGTTGAATAATTACATTTTTATATATATTGTCCTTTAAGAACTTCTTAGTTGGACTCACATTCTCCTTAAAATTTATTTTGACATTGCCTGTTGATCTTTCCTTTGACAAATGTGGTACTCTCTGTGACCTCAATGTGTCACCTCCTCTCTAGTTTCCTCTTTTAAAGGAAACACATGGTTCAAGTGTATCTTTATGCAAAACTTCTCAGAGCTTCTAATATGCCCAGTGCATTGGAAATCTGGAAGGGGAATAGTATTACCTGTGACAGTTCCCAAATCTGTCACCAAAAAAGTCACAAAACCTTTTTTTCCACAGAGCATCTTGCAAGTCCTACTGGTTTTTGGAAATTCTGTATTAGATCTTTTGAAAGGCTTTTTCAAGCTCAAAAATTATGGATCTTTGATTTTTGTTACTAAGGCTTTTGCTTTCAAAGATAAAAATATTTGCTCTTCTGTCTTGGAAGCCATTACTTCCTTTCCATCTTGAATGAAAGTACATATCATTTTGAGTTTGAAACCATTAGGTGGACATAAATGTCATTTGTTTCCAGCAGGCAAATGAGACCCTACCCCACCCTCAATGCTTGTAAACACTAGTATTTGTTTCCCACTCTGTTTAATATTTGCATCCTAGAGTGGTGACTTGGGGACAGACTTGGAGATCAATATCTGTAAGAATTATGTAAGTCATCCTAGTTATACTCTCTTTTCTGGTAGTCTTTGTGAGCTAGATCTGGGAAAATAGCTAAAGTTGAGGTCCCTGGACTGCCAGGAAGGAGGAAAAGAGGAAAGCCAAGTACGTTGAATCCCAGGCAGTAGAATATCAAACACTGGATTTTGTGCATACATACACCGAATTCTTGGTGACTATCTAAGTTATTTCCCCTCTTGCCTAATTTTTCCTGTATCTTTGCTGTTAACTTTTAAATTGTATACCGATAGGGCAATGGTGATTCAACATACAGTTTACCTTTGAAATGCAGGTATCTCACTCGGACTTAAAACATCTGAGGCGCTAGCTTGTTAGTACAGCAATTTGTATATCATCTACTTTTTATACCTAGTATGAGAAACACCCTCCACCCCAATCATTACTTTTCATATGACCCATTAATTTTAATGTGGTCTTCATACTCTGTCAGTGATTAAGAGAAACCGTTGAGTAAATGAGTGCTCCATTTTAATAAAGTCCAGATAACCCAACTGATCCACAACCCAAAAGGAAGGTGAATAATTCTTTGAGGCAAGATTGACAATATGTATTAACAATTCTGTACCAAAGAGGAAATGTGATAAAGTTTTAAAAGCAGCAGAGTACTTCAGAAGATAGATTTTACCCCTCACAAACTTGTTTTACTACTAGCTAGCCTTATTACCTTAGTCACTTAACCTTTTTGTGTCTTAGTTTCTCAGTAATCCAGTGAATCTTGCCCATTTTATAGATTCAGATGTTGGAAGCATGATAGAAATGTAACATACTTGTTTCTCCCCTAGTGGATGTTTACTATATTATATGCTTTATAACTTTTATCAATGTTGTATTTTCTTTTGTAAGGATATTTCATTTTTTAAAAAAACCAGGCAAATACAAAAACAAAACATGAGTTTTTACCATCAAATTAAGCTGAATTCTAGACTCAAAGCAATAAACAAGACAAAAAAATAACATATTTTCTAGTGGACTAGACATAAAGCTAAAACTTCTAGAGTTAATAGGTTTTTAAAATTATCCCCTAAGACTGGGTACAGTGGCTCATGCCTGTAATCCCAGAACTTTGGGAGGCTGAGGCAGGAGGATTGCTTGAGTTCAGGAGTTTGAGACCAGCCTGCGCAACATAGTGAGACCCTATCTCCACAAAATGTTTACAGATTAGCCAGGTGTGGTGGCATGTGTCTGTAGCCCCAGCTACTTGAGAGACTCAGGCAGGAGGATTGCTTTATCCTAGGAGTTTGAGGCTGCAGTGAGCTATGACTATGCCACTGCACTTCAGCCTCGCTAACAGAGAACCCGATCTCCAAAAAAATAAAATCACCCTCCATTATTATATTTTTAATATATGTCTTTCAGAATTTGACAGCTGAAGTGGGGGGAAAGATGTTAACAATGTAAATAATAGCAGAAGGCTTCGTTTAATGGATATCTTTGTGTATATTAATAAAATTATAACATTCCTTTTAAGGAAGTCAGAAAGGTAAGGAAACTGTCCCTTCTAATAACCAAATATGGGTTTCAGAAATTGTTATGGATGTGCATTGCCCCTTTGTATTTGTGACTGAAAAAAATGGTGGCTTCTCTTGATCTATTTTAATAGTTTGATTTTTGACCATATTTTACTCATCTGTGAGGGTGAGCCTCAGATTAACCATAGGCTGCTAAAGGCAGCAGCCTCCCATCAGTGAATCAGGAGGATTTTGCTTCTGTACTTAAAAATTTTAATGTTTCATGAGATATTGCCACTTTTCTAAATTTTCCAGGAACCCTCTGGATATTGATGCCGCAGGTGTGGTTGGACTGTCATTTAGTGGACACCGAATCCAGAGTGCCACTGTGCTCCTCAACGAGGACGTCAGTGATGAGAAGACTGCGGAGGCTGCAATGCAGCGCCTCAAAGCGGCCAACATTCCAGAGCAGAACACCATTGGCTTCATGTTTGCATGCGTTGGCAGGGGCTTTCAGTATTACAGAGCCAAGGGGAATGTTGAGGCTGATGCGTTCAGAAAGTTTTTTCCTAGTGTTCCCCTATTCGGCTTCTTTGGAAATGGAGAAATTGGGTGTGATCGGATAGTCACTGGGAACTTCATATTGAGGAAATGTAATGAGGTAAAAGATGATGATCTGTTTCATAGCTATACAACAATAATGGCACTCATACATCTGGGGTCATCTAAATAATAATTAAAGTGGCTTTCATAATATATAACTTTCTGGTTCTGCCTTTTTCAGAAAATGGAAACTTGGGCTATGTGTATTTCAAACAAAAATAACTTTAGATATATCTTTTTTGTAGCTTTGATTGATGCTCTAAGATGACGAAGGTAGTTTTTAATATATTAGATGAAGGACAACTTTGGACATAACACAGACTAGGAGTTGAGAGCTTTTGCATCAGGCACAAGCAAACTGATTATAGTTGTGTTGCACCAGATTGTGTAGCTGCTGTGTGACGTGACCTTAGTCTTCCCGCATAGGAAGAGCAAAAGGGGATTCATCAGTAGGACAGAGATTTAAGACATTCTCTGACTACCCCTGGCGTTGTTAGCTGATGTCTTTCAGCAGAATCATGAAGACCTTTTTTCTCCCCCCCCCCTTTTTTTTTTTTTTTTGAGACGGTGTCTTGCTCTGTCGCCCGGGGCTGGAGTGCAGTGGCCGGATCTCAGCTCACTGCAAGCTCCGCCTCCCGGGTTTACGCCATTCTCCTGCCTCAGCCTCCCGAGTAGCTGGGACTACAGGCGCCCGCCACCTCGCCCGGCTAGTTTTTTGTATTTTTAGTAGAGACGGGGTTTCACCGTGTTAGCCAGGATAGTCTCGATCTCTTGACCTTGTGATCCACCCGTCTCGGCCTCCCAAAGTGCTGGGATTACAGGCTTGAGCCACCGCTCCCGGCCTTTCTCCCTTTTAATAAGGAGAAAAATATACTGATGGTTTGAGAAATTTTTCTCTGCCTTTCAGTTTTATGAATTTTTTCAGAAGTAACAATATTATTACTGACTTTTTACTTATTTGATAAAAATTAAAGAACTATTTTTGTTTTGGTCAGATAAATTGACAAGACTAATCAGTGTTTTATCATAAGTAAAACATTTTTCTTTTTTCCTTAAAAATCTTTTTTTTTCACCTAGGTCTATATAGCTAACTGGTAGACCAGAGTATTACATCATCTTATTTTGGTTTTATACCAATAAAACATAGCTTGGAACTCATTCAGGTAATGTTTTGCATTTTATTGCTTTTGGATGAACAAAGGAAGGAAACTAATCCTTCATAAACGAAAACCCAGAATAGTTGGTATTTGTCAGCTAGTCGTTCCTGTCATATTCCCAGTAGAATGATTTTCAAGTTTGAATTTCTATACAAATATCTAAATAAGAGATGTGCAGACAGCACCAATTTTCCCTCAATATCCATTCTTTCCTTTTTGCATAATGATAGAACCTTTGATTTTTCAATTGGGTATGCCTCCTAGAATAAAGACTACATTTCCCAGTCTCCTGTGCAGGTATGACTGTGTTCTGGACAATGGAATGTGTGGGGCAATGATTTGTGTCATTAAAATGGCATGACCATTTATTTGCCCCTTTCTCCATCTTGTTGCTTGGAATGTGGATCTGGTAGTCAGCCATCTTGGACCCTGAAGAGGAGGCAACACACCATTGTGGAAGAAGGTAACAGAAGGATCCTGGTTGCTGTACAACCTCATTGAAGAAACGCCATTAAGTGGCGTGGACTATCCACCTCCAGACTGTTTTACAAGAGAGAAATTAGCATATTCCACCTAATACAATATGATGTAACTAATGTTACTTTTGTAACAGTCAGTGGTTTGTTCTAACAGGACAGTAGAACACTTGCAAGGTAAGTAAAGTCAAATGTATTAGCATTATTCCTCCTTTTCCTTTTTTATCACTTTTATCCCTTTTTTTAAAACTGAAAATATTTATCTTGCTATTTTTATATATATGATAAAAATACTTAGAAGATTCCTTTAATTTATGGTTATTCTAAATCCTAGTTCCTGAGGAAAGAAAAATTTGTCAAAACTTTTCGTCTGTGAATATTTGTATTTAGCTCATGCTATTTAGCTATTATCAAAATACCTCAAAATTTTAGTCTTTGAATGTGCTCATATAGCACATAAGTCTAATATTTTTTAAACTTTATTGTCCCTGATATTAACCAGAATTGGTTGAATAGTAGAGGAAAAGGGATTTTTAAAACTGAAAATATGAACAAAATGAGCCTTAGAATTGAACGGGTTAAACAAATTAATACTCATAAAATGTTTTGCCACTTCTCAAAGGAGAGTCTGATACAGGATAATTTCATACAATATTTGATGTTGTTAAAGGGTTCCTTTTTATAGCTGAGCCTTTGGAGCTTGTTACGAACACTAAAATCATTTAGTCACATGGTTGCAACCTTAGTGCAAAGTAAAAAGGGAAAAAGTTGACCTAATAGAAACAGTAGTAGTACTGATAAGAATAAAAGTGATCCTCCCTGCCTCTCAGAGGCCTTGAAGTTCTGTGAGGAAGGGAAATGGTAATTTAGCCAAAGTTAAATCTGTGTAACTCATTTATTACAATTTTGAAAGGCTTGTCTTAGAAGCATTAAAGGAGTATTAGCTAAAAACAAACTAAATTCCTAGAGATGACAATCATTGTAGTCCTCGGTGAAATGAAAATAACAATCACATGAAAAAAAATTTGAGCATAAAAAAGAGAAGTAAAGGTATACCCTTAGCCTACATACTGAGCTGACAATCAGATCATAGAATGCTTTATTTAATCAAGACATTTAAAAATACTTATTTCATCTACATACTTTCAAAGCAAAATAATTTCTGGGGCCACAGTTTCCTTTGTATAAGACTTAAGCAAGAAATATATTTCCATGCCCTTTGATCCAAGTAAAATCTAAGGAAAAGGGAAAGTAAACCTTGAAATTAAGACCTAGAAATAGATCCACCCTTGCAGATTGATAAAAGTGGGCAATCCAGTAGGCCAGTTCACATTATAGTTATCTCAGTTTTGCTTAAAGCAAACCCTAACCCTCAACCTAGGAGGCCAGATAGCAAAAGATGTGCAACTGGTTTATATTGCAAATTTAACAAAATGAACATGCAAAGAATTACAATAGAAATAAACTTTTACAAATCTGAGAACTTTCTATGCAATCTGCAGACATTTTTAAGAATATAAATGTGCTTCCATCATTTTTTACCCAGTCTGGCCCGGGCTTGCACTGCCATAAATTCAGTTTTAATGGGAACAGAAGACTCCAGATCCTCTTGATGGGAAGAAATCATGAAATTTTAGATGATTGACTTTGATTTTCATTTGTAGAAACTGGGTATGAGTTGGCTTAATGAAAATCCTAAAATAATAAAATAAGCATTAGTAATAATATCCTTGTTAAATGAACAAAGCGAACACTTATGTGATATAAAGAATGTGGTACCAGAAACTTTATAGGGAAGAATAATAAAATATTTGCAAGACCTATTATTTTTGTTCAATATATTTATATATTATATACATATATCTACCCTATGCCACAACTGAAGACAGGTTACAAGAACATATGCTACTACAAAATAGGAAACTGGCAGAAGCCAATAAGTATCACTTAATATTTTGGTATGGAAACTTTCATTTCTTTTCTTTGAGACAGAGTTTCACTCTTGTTGCCCAGGCTGGAGTGCAATGGCACGATCTCGACTCACTGCAACCTCCACCTCCTGGGTTCAAGTGATTCTCCTGCCTCGCCTCCCGAGTAGCTGGGATTACAGGCATGCGCCACCATGCCCGGCTAATTTTGTATTTTTAGTAGAGATGGGGTTTCTCCATGTTGGTCAGGCTGGCCTCAAACTCCAACCTCAGGTGATCTGCCCACCTCGGCCTCCCAAAGTGCTGGGATTACAGGCGTGAGCCACTGTGCCCAGCCATAAGCTTTCATTTCTTAAAACAGATTTATAAAAGTTTTTGCTCTATAGTGACTGTTATCACAGCCAGCAAAAACAGGCAAGATTGATTAATTTAGAAGAAATTGAAAGAAAATATATTCATTAATGTTGCTTTTAAATGCAAATGATCAGATTGAGAATTTTGAGACCATTGACATTTTTCTAATTCTCACCAACCAAAATTTAATCACTATACTTAATAAACATACTCTACTCAAGGTCTTGTAATACTAAAATTATAGGGAGGAATAAAACATAATTGACCCCAGCGACATCAGCAAAATGGGCAGACTAGGAAGCTGCAAGCTTGTTTCCCCATCAAAACATTAAAAAAAAAAAAAAAAAAAAAAAAGCAACCGTCTGAACAAACTTTATTAGAACTTTAGAAAACAGTCAAAGGTTTACAGCAACCAAAAAAATTCCCAGTCATCTTCAGAATGGTAGGAAAATAGTGAGTTTTTAGTGGCTCTTGCCCCGACCCCTCCCTGCATTGTGACAGTCTTGAAGCAGCAGCAGCCCAGTTCCCTCCCTTGAACTGGAGAAAACATAATAGACTTTTTTGGCATATTACTGTGTACATTTTTTTCTAACCTGTCTGGGGATACCTGAAGGACTGACACAAGGTCTCATCTTTTTTTTTTTGCCTAACTGGAAGGGTGGGCACTGCTTATAAAAGCTGCAAAGAACCACAGGTACATGGGGCAGGAGGTTATAGGTGGAAACATAAAATAGAACAACTAAGGCCCAGAGGAGAATCTGGGGTAAGGCTTTGGGAAATTAGGAAATTAAGAACAGTTATATATACAGGGGGCATTTAAAATGCGACATGCATATGCCCAGGGAAAACACTTGCCCAGAAAGTTCTAAGACCTAAGCTTTCACCTTGCTCTGGTCCCTAAGCTCAAAAGCAGGTCAAAGTAAGTATTGGAGGATTACCTGGCACAAAGCCAATTTGTAAAATCTAGGATAGCACCTGGCATTTGAGGGAATTTATGTCAAAATCGCTGAATATGACATAAAAAGAAGAGAGACTTCAGTGATCACACACAAAAGGGATAGTCTTTTATAAAAGTAATTGGAAAACTCTCAAAACGAATGGATGACAGCTTTTAAAAATAAAAAAACAAATGAACTAGAAAACCATGGGGAAAGGAAAGAATCTCTTACCTAGAGTTACCATATTATAATAGTGAATACCCAATTCTCAAGAAAAAAAATCACAAGCCTTACAAAGGAACAGGAAAATAATGCCCATTCAAAAGATCAAAATTAATTGACAGACATTGTCCTAATGAAGGACATTAAACTAGACATATACTTTAAAACAACTCAAATATGCCCAAAGAACTAAAGGAAAGCATGAACAAAAAATTAAAGGAAATCAGGAAAATGATAAATGAACAAAATCAGAATATCAACAGAGATAGGCATTATAAAAAAATTCTGGAGGAGAAAAGTATAATGAAATTTTCACTAGAGGGGTTCAGCAGCAAAGAATAGCAAAGAATCTATTCTTTAGAAGAAAGAATCAGCAAACTTGAGATGGGATCATTGAAAGCAGAAACAACAAATCAAGCCTCCATAGTTTTAAAAGATATATATCACACGCAAAGAAGTGAAGAAGATACAAAGCATTTTTGAACCACAACAGGATGTAGTTAGAAATCAATAACAAAAGGAAAATTGGAAAATTCACAAACTTTTGGAAATTAAACAACACACTCAACCAATGGGTCAAAGAAGAAATCACAAGAGAAATTAAAAAGAGAAAAATGCAGCATACCAAAATTTATAGGATGCAGTGAAAGCACTGCTAAAGGGGAAATTTACAGACATAAATGCTTACATTAAAAAACAAAAAACATCTCATGTCAACAGCCTGACTTTGTAACTTAAGGAGGGGGGAAAGACACACTAAATCCAAGGCTAGCAGATGGAAGGAAATAATAAAGATTAGAACAGATAAATTGAATAAAGATTAGAAACACTAGAGAAAAATCAGTGAAACTACAAGTTCTTTAAAAGACCATAAAGTTGAGAAGCTGCTACCTAGATAATAAAAAAGGAAGACTCAATTGCTAAAATAAATGAAAATGGGACAGCACTCTAGATCCTAGAAAAATGAAAAGGGTTATAAAATAATACCTTGGACAACTTAGATGAAATGGTCAAAATCCTAGAAATGCAAAACCTACCACTGCTGAACTATGAAAAAAATTTTAAAATCCGAATAGAACTAGAACCAGTAAGGTGATTGAATTAGTAATCAATTCTCCTGGAAAAAAAAGCGCTGGACCTGATGGTTCTCATTTGTGAATTCTACCAAATAAGAAGAAATAACCCCAAACCCTCTTAAACTTTTTCCAAAAATTGAAGAGGAAGGATGCTTCCTAATTCATTCTGATGCTGAAGCCAGACAAATATACCACAGGAAAAGATTACAGACACAAATATACCACAAGATAAAGATTACAGAAGAAAAGATTCCTTATTTTCACTGATTCAACAATTCTCAATACTAGGAAACTGAATTTAGCAGCATATTAAAAGGATTGTACAGCATAATCAAATGGAATGAATTCCTGGAATGCAAGAATGGTTCAACATACAAAAATCAATATAATATACCATATTAACAGAATGAAGGGAGAACAACCAGATGATTATCTCCATTGATCCAGACAAAGCATTTGACAAAATCCAGGAGCCTCTTGTGATTAAAAACACTCAACAAATGAGGGATAGGAAACTACCTCAACATAATAAAAGCCAGATATTAAAAGCCCACAGTAGACACCATACTTAGTGGGGAAAGACTGAAAGCTTTTCCTCTAAGATCAAGACAACAATGCTCACTTTCACCATTCCTATTCAACACAGTACTAGAAGTTCCAGCCTGAGCTAGAAAGAGAAAAGACATCCAAGTTGGAAAGTAAGAAGTAAAATCGTGTATGTTCACAAATGATGTGATCTTTAGACAACCCTAAAGATTCCACACCAAAAAAATAAATAAAACTGTTAATTCAGTAAGGCAGCAGGATACAAAGTCAACCCACAAAAATCAGTTGCATTCCTATACACTAACAATGAACAATCTTGAGAAGGAAATTACAAGAACAGTCCCATTTACCATAGCCCCAAAAATAATATGCACAGAAATTAGCTTACCCAAGGTGGTGAATGGCTTGTACAATGAGAACTACAAAACCTTGCTTAAAGATAAAAATAAATGGAAACACATCTCATGTTCATGGATTGGAAAATCTAATATTGTTAATATGTCAGTACTACTCAAAGTGATTCACTACAATCTCTATCAGAATCCTAGGATTTTTTTTTTTTTTCCAGAAATAGAAAAACCCATCCTGAATTTCGTATGGAATATGAAGGGATCCCAAATAGCCAAATCAGTCTTGAGAAAGAACAAAAAATTGGAGGACTTAGACCTCCATATTTTAAAACTTACTATAATGCTACAGTAATCAAAACAATGTGATTCTGGCATAAAGGCAGACAGATCAATGGGATAGACTGGAGAGCCTAGAAATAAACCCTCTCGTCTGTAGCTAAATGATTTTTGACAAGGGTGCCAAGACTATTCGAAGGATAGTTTTTTCAACAAATAGTGATGGGAAAGCTGGATAACCATATGGCTAAAGAATGAAGTTGCAACCTCACCATGTGCAAAAATTAAAGTGGACCAAAGACCTAAATGTGAGAGCTAAAACCATAAAACTCTTAGGATGTGGCAATGGTTTATTGGATATGACACCAAATTCACAGATGACAAAAGAAAAAATAGGCAAATTGGACTTCATTAAAATTCTAAAATTTTGTGCATCAAAGGACACTATCAACAGAGTGAAAAGATTACCTATGGAGTGGGAGAAAATATATATGCAGTTCACATACCTAATAAGGATTAAACATCAAGAATACACGCAAAACTCCCAAAATGCAACAATAACATAAAAACCTGATTTAAAAAATGGCAAAGGATTTGGATAGATCTCCAGAGAAGACATGCAGATAGCCAATGAGCACATGAAAAATGCTTAACATTACTAAACAGTAAGGAAATGCAAATCAAAACCACAATGAGATACCACTTTGTACCCATTGGAATAATTTATTAAAATTAAAAAACACACAAGTGTTGGCAAGGATGTGGAGAAATTGGAACTCTTATTACTGATGGAAATACACAGTGGTGCAGCTGCTGTAGAAAACAGTATAGTGATTTTCCAGTTAAATACAGAATTGTCATTTGATTCAGCAATTGCATTTCTGGGTATATACACAAAACAATTGAAAGCAGGGGCTTGAGGATATATTTGTATACCAGTGTTCACTGCAGCATTATTCACAGTAGTCAAAAGGTAGATACAACCCAAATACCCAACAGATGAAT